AGAGACCTCCCAGCCCTGCCTCTGCTGGAACAGGAAAGTTGATCAAAAAAAGTTTGTGTTTTTTCTCTTCCTTTACACCACAACAATCAACATAGAAATCACACTTCTGTGACCCAAGTGTGGCTATTTCTCCACACTGGCAAGCAAGCATTCAGTTCTGCAGTGGATACCAGCTGGCTGTCCTCCAATTCAGTTTAATTCCAACACTATCTACTTGGAGATAGTGTCAGATGCCACAGTTTGAGGGCTCAGTCCCCAGATCATCCCCCACTTCATATGCTAGTTGCATATTAAGTCATAATCAAATATCTTTCCCAGTTGGTTGTTTTCCTATTTTTCCTTTCTCTTAATTCATCAGTATCTCCTGATTAGGTCAGTGTCGGGAAGAGGTCTTGGTGCTCAGGGATGGCCAGTCTGTTTCCTCATATTATGCTACTAGAAACACAGGCTCATAGACACATTCAGATACCAGCTGCAGAAGAAGTCAGGTGCTCTTGAAGTCACAGTAGTGGTGGTGGTGGAGCTTGGACAAATCTTGCATTTCATGCTATAAAGAAAATAATCATGAACAAATTAATACCGATTACTATAAGTGGTAACACTGAACAGCCTATCATGCACTCAAAATGTCTCAATCAAAGAGTCCCCATACCCCAGTCATGTCCTTCTGCCCCATCCCCTCTCCCGCTTCAGCCTCTCCAGGGTCTCACCTTTAGGAACAAAGAGACTTATCACTGCTCTGAGTACTTTCTGTGTCTAGGGTAGAACAAAACAGGACCAAGTCAGAGCCCACAGGAGATGCGGCTAAAGGAGGAATTATGGGGTGGGTGAGCTCCCTCACAATGGGCTCCTGTCTACATTGTCCCAAGAGTCTCAGGGGTTACCCCCCCCCCATTACTTACAGTCAGCCTGAGAGTAGGGCCATCCTTTTCCACCTGTGGGAAGAAAACATCCTGTGAGAGGCCAGGAAGGAGGCAGGGCCAGGAGGTCCTGGAGAAACCCCCTAGTCTTGGACCCCAGAGATGTTTCTGGAACTGTGACTATGGACCCCAGGGCAGGATCAGGAAACATGGTGGAGGGAGATGTGTGGGAATTGGACCAACTGCCCTCCTGGAGTTCTGTCCTCAGCAGGGACCTTCCCCTCTGCCTTCTGACTGCTGGGAATTAGGTCCCCAAGAGTACAATCATCATGGTGATAAATGCGTCTATTTTCACATGTGCCTTACAAAAGAGTAAATGTTGGCACACAGGGCCCCAGGCTGGGTAAGCACCTGTGTGTGGGGGGTTGGGTACTTTCCAGTAACAGGCAAGGCATACTTCTACTTGGGCTTGAAACTCCAAGTAGGACAAGAAAACTCAGACCATACTCCTCACCCCTTCCCTACCTGAGCTTTTCTTCTTCCGCATCGCAACACCTGCAACCACAGCTCCAAGGAGAACCAGGCCAGCAACGATTCCCACAATAAGCATGGTGGGCTGAGGTGGCGGCTCTGGGAAAGGAAGGGAAGGTGAGGGGCCCTGAACCCCAGGCCTCAGCTCTGATTCTGCTGAAGGTCTCCAGAATGTCCCCTATTTTCCTGAGAAAAGACTTGATCCCTCATCTCTGTCCTTACCCCATCTCAGGGTGAGGGGCTTGGGCAGCCCCTCATGCTGCACATGGCACGTGTATCTCTGCTCCTTTCCAGAAGGTACCACCACAGCTGCCCACTTCTGGAAGGTTCCATCCCCTGCAGGCCTGGTCTCCACAAACTCCGTGTCCTGGGTCTGGTCCTCCCCATCTCTCTGCCAGGTCAGTGTGATTTCCACAGGGTAGAAGCCCAGGGCCCAGCACCTCAGGATGGCCTCATGGTCTGAGATTGGGTGGTGGGTTATATGTGTCTTTGGGGGATCTGAGGAGAAGGAT